TTTTGGCACCCTCTAAAGATGGCGCTCAAGTCAGGTGACCCTTTAGCATAGCCCTGGGTAAGAGGTTCAAATGTTTGTTCTACTGTGCAGCATAATTTCTATTTCTTCAACCAGTTATAATGATTTACCCATAGGCATACTTCCAGTAACCAAGTGTTTCTCAACCTTTCCTGTCTTATGCCCCACCTAATCACTTAAAAACAATTTGATGTTCCACTTGTGAAAGAGCTAAAAACTATTCAGATGTCCTGTCCACCTCTGCTTGAAAAATAGACACATCCCTATCTCTCAGAGTAAAAAAAAAAACAACAACAATATTTCACCCCATTATCTCCAAATAGGCTCCAATTGGGGCTTAGGCCCTATATTAGGAAACATTGCCTCAAATCAAATAGAAGCTCTCAAATTGTTATTAATTTTGTTAATATATGTAAATGTTTTATAAAATAGTGTAATAAATAAGGCTTGCCCATAATTTATAATAAGGTCCATATCTTTCGCATTTCAAAGCTATATGCAAAATGATTAATCTGGAGTCGATTAATCGACAATGCCGTTTATTCGGTAATCTGGCAATTCACTAATTTGTGCAACCTTATTATCGACAGCTCTTATGGTGGAAATAAGAATGTATTACTAGATTGATTAATCTATCATCAACTGATGAAGGCTTTGAAAGTTGCACTAAGATTTAAATACTTTTGGGGTACATATTTATTAGGCATAATAATTGCACTTCAACATGTGACTTACTCTTTCTTCCTTCTTTAAATCCTCTTCTTTCTTTCTATAATTTTCCTCTTGTTTCTCTAACTCAGAGAGTTCAATCTTTAGTTTTTGAAAATCAGCCGATGCAGCCTAGAGAAAATTAAAATACATTATTAGATAGCTCTTTCATTGTGATATAAAATGGCTATATAATAAGGAAACAAAAGTGAAATCTTGCTGCAATGTAAGACATATAAACTTTAACAATGTCCCAGTTTATGATCAAAATTTTAATATACAAATATTGTCCCCTACAATAAAAAAACAAAAAGAACACTACAATTTAAAAAAAAATAAATCTATCAATGAAGGATGTTAATGGGATTTCCGATTGTAACTGATAACCGGTTGTTGATTTTCACAAACTGGCTATCTAATTATCTTTATCATTATATAAAAATTATGTACTGAACCAATAGTAAATTTATTTTTATTATTATTTAATAAATAAAATACTTTTTTGAAACATAAAGATGGTGTATTAAATTTATAGGTTACTTGAGTATCTGACCATACTGCACTCTATACTAATATCAGCTAAATGATGTTAAAAACGAGTTGAATTTTTTTCTGGGGAAAGTGGTTGCTAACTTGTTATTGCAAGTGTTTATTGCAAGTGTTTATTCTGTGATAGATATTAACAAGTTGGCATATCGCAGTCTCACATAATTTTGCCTCCCCTAATTAATGAAAATTACAATGAAGAAGAACATACACAAAAAACAAAAGCTAGAAGTATATAAAGTGGACAGAAAAAGCTGTCCCCCCAAAAAAATAAAAAAATGCCCCATCCACCCACACTCGTGGATTTTTACCAAGTTGTGGTATCACAATGTAACTGGTCCCTTATGAGGGGTAATAAGGGGAGAGACTGCAATCAGGTTAGTACAAAATAAAATGAGTAAAACAGAGTAGGGTTAAACCTGAAAAAATAAACGCAACAAAACAGCGAACGTGTCGGCAGAAAGCCTTCGTCAGCGAACAAAACAACAGAAAAAAGGTATAAAAATAAAAATAAGAAATAGCACTTAGCTGGTAAGAAGGGTTAAACCTGAAAAAATAAACGCAACAAAACAGCGAACGTGTCGGCAGAAAGCCTTCGTCAGCGAACAAAACAACAGAAAAAAGGTATAAAAATAAAAATAAGAAATAGCACTTAGCTGGTAAGCAGCATCTGTGGGCAGCAATAGAAGTGTATTGCTGCCCACAGATACTACTTACCAGCTAAGTGCTATTTCTTATTTTTATTTTTATACCGTTTTTCTGTTGTTTTGTTCGCTGACGAAGGCTTTCTGCCGACACGTTCGCTGTTTTGTTGCGTTTATTTTTTCAGGTTTAACCCTACTCTGTTTTACTCATTTTATTTTGGTCCCTTATGACCTCATCAAATATGTCGATTTCACATGGCTGTGAGGAACAATTTGAAATGCATTGTTACCGGTACCAGGGGTCAAGTCTTGGGGGAGAAAGTGAGGAACTCACACAAGACGATGACCACACCCTCAAATCAATATATAAATATTTATTTATTCCTTAGCAAATAAAATGTAAAAAATCCAGTTTCCATTTGTCCTTGAGGACTGATTGAAACAACCCATTACTGGTTTAAAACCAGATTTCAAAACTGATAACAGATTTGCAAAACAAAACAAAAAAGAACATCCCATCCATCAATTAATTATTACAACTCACGCTGACCTCCTCAGCTTCTTTTACTTTTCTTCTCATCTCTGCAAGTCTTTGTTGGTGTCTGCAATTACAAATTATAAACAGTGATACAATTTGTCTTGCTAATATTTATTGAAGAAAATAAATAGTAACAGAAAACAACTCAGATGCAAACTTATTAATAATAAAAATAATTAAAATAAAAACATTATTAGAAATATATGGTAATTATGGACAGAAGTATGTTTTATGTTTAATAAAATATTGATCTTTTAAAATTAAGGTAAGAAAACTAATTAATATTTTACAATTAAACAAATTTAAATGATTTCAAATGATTATTTTGACAAGTAGAAATTTCATGATGGTAGATTTTCATTTGATTTAATTAATGTTAAGATTTAAATAATTTAAATAATATTGTATCTGATTTAATATTATTAGAAGACTTCAGTAGACAAGAAAAAAAATTATAGAATAGATGTAGAAAAAACATAAGAGAATATAAGATAAGATAATGCCCCTAAGGGATCAATAGTGCAAGCACTGCAGAAAACGTTTCATGAAGTCAAAATAATAAACTTTGATCAAGAAGTATATGATCTTATAATTATAATACTCAGTTATGCAATTTAACAAAAGAAAACTTTTAGAACATACGTTTGTTTCTCAGTTTCCAATTTCTCCTTTTTCTTTTTTTGCTCCTCCATGCGGTCAACTCGGGCTTGATGCCGCCATCTGAACAAACTAGGAGTGTCGATGTTGGGATGGGTATCATCTTCATCATCGGAAATCTAAAAAAATAAAAAAAAATTATTGTTGTATAGTAAAATTAGTCATAAATATTTAAATAAATAAGGTAGGTTTTTGAAACTTATTGTATCCATATTGATTGCAGAGATAAATGGACTGATAGGTTTATGTTATAGATATATGTGTGTGTGTTGTGTGAATTAAGGAAGTTTATTATGTAATAACTAGTGATGAATTCCCAGGGTGATGTTCAGGCTAGATAAACCTATGGGCTAATAGCTTTTTAGGCAGACGTGACAACCCATATGAAGAAAATTATTATTGTTAGACGTGACAATCCATATGAAGAAAATTATTATTGTTACTGTGTAACAGTAAATGAAAGCTTTTGCGCTACTAGATGGTGATCAAAAAGAAATTTTACTAACTAAAATCTTCAAAAATTTGTTGCAGCTGGAGCATTTTAAAAATCGAGCAAATGAAAATGGGAAATTATAATTCAAAGCAAACAATTTTGAGAGTTTTTGTTAGCACACAAAAACAAATTTGCAACAAATAAATACCTTTTTACAATATTTTCAAACAAAAGGCTTTGATTTGTTGAAAACCCAGAGGATGACAGAAAAGGCCATTGAGAAATTGAATAACATTTCACAATAATTTCTGGTTGTAAATAAAGCTGCACAAAATTTCACCAATTCAGTAAATTTCCAGCTAAGGAAAAAATACAGGAGGATTTGAAACAGTGCTATGGCCTGTGACTGTGAAAAGGGTGTGTATGTGTGTGTGTTTTTGTTGATGAAAAAATTTCAAATGATGAACCATTGTTTGATTCAATTCAAATATGTTGTGCTGATGCTAAAGATCAGATTTTTAGGACAATGTTGAATAGCCGTAGTTTTTGCAAACATTTTATAAGAAAAGTGAAGAAAACTGCAAGAATGGCATGCCTCAGTTCGAGAAAATTGGATACACTTATAGCTTTGCATGTAACTTTCAAATTTCCCAGCAAAAAATTTAACGCTGAGGCAAAACCAAATAAAATTTGGGAAGAACTTCTAAAATTTGCTTTCAAATCTGAAAAGAGAAGTCTTACAGAAAGATACACACTGAAATTAGTCTAATTATCTAATAGCAATAGTTATCAAAGATTATTTCTGGGAAATGTACCTTTTTTTTTCCCGCTTTCCCCCCCCCCCCCCCGGAACAGCTGGATTTTTTCTTGGCCGACGCTCAAGTGGTAGATTACCTAACAAAAAAATTTTTTAATTTTTTTTGGTACGGTATGAAATTTTCCAAAAATACTATTGATTTCATTTTTTTTTTCCTGTAAATTTGCTTATTTTCCTATATTCTCCTATCTTTTGGTAAGTTGTTGAAATAATACATTCTCTAACATCATCTCCCTTTTTTTATCACACATGTTTTGCACTATTTTTTTTTTTCCCTTGATGGGAAAAATCATGGCATCTCTTCTTTGCATTTACAAAGAATTGAATTAGTTGAATCACTTAAAACTTACAACTTAAATGGGGTTGTTAGAGTTAGTGATAGTGTGTTTACAGTTTTGACAGCCTTTTCTTTAGTCTAAATTAGTGAAAGTGAGTGGATTTTATTTGTACAATTAATTAGTTTTAGTAGGCCTAGTTACTAAATTAGTAAACTAAGTAAGTTTTTTGTTGTCGTTGAATTGACAGTTTAAGTATTTAAGATTAAGTCATTGATTAATTTAAGTATTAATGTAAGTCCTAGATTATTAATTAATATTAATTAAGCCTACGGCTACGGCTTACTTCAATGTGATCCCATTTGCTGTAATTTATTGTCGACATGATAATTAAGTGGCCTTGACTGTAATATGTAACGGCTGCAGAGATGGCAACAAATGAATGTAATAATTAGTACTGATAATAATATTTTTTCTAAGAATCGAAAGCTCTCGATTCGACGACTAGCTTCTTGTTTATAGAGGAAGTTATGTTAAAAAGTTGAACGCAATTTTCAAGTTATAAAACAATTTTTTAAATTTCATACCAGGCTGTTTGTATGTATGGAATACATTTTTTACATTTTATTTAGTGTTGAAAATAAATTAATATTTTGTATTTTTAAAACAGTTATAGGTTCTCTTTGAAAAATGAGACATGGAGTTTCTCTCTTCGCTGTTGGGATTGTATGATCACTATTAAAGTAAATTATATTGATGACATTTTTTTATAAAATTGAATTTTAAATAATTTGATTTATTGAAATTTATTATTAATTTGTTTTGTATGAATATGAACATCAACTTCGTGTTCACGTTAATTTTTTTTTTAAACGTTTGGATCCAATTTGTGAATATATAACCTTTTTATGTGAGTAATTTAATAATTTAAAAAAAAAAGTATTAGCTATTGTCTACTGAGGCTTATTTTTATTGCATTTTATACACAATATATTGTATTGCACGTGGCAAAACGCCGGCTAACGACTAACGGACTAACCCATAAACCCAATAATTTACATATTGAAAACGAGGCTAGAAGCGTCCCTTATTACATCGTTGTCAATGAGCATTCTGTAGCATTCACCTCTTAACCCTGCTTAGAAGCTTTGCATGTACCTGAGGGCGTCAACCTGATTACCTTAATAATTAATAAAGTTAATATAAGTAGGTAAGCATTTAAATATATTATTGATATCGTTATTGATATTAACGAATGAGCTGACTAGTACTAGTTAGTCTACACTGTGTTAGTAGGCCTTTACTTTATTATCTATATTATTACTTACTAACCTACTACTACAATAAGTGTAAGTGTAAGCCTGTGCCTTTATACTTTAGTCTTTATTAACTTTAACTGTAGGCCTGTAACTGTAACTGAAGTGAGTATGAGTATGATTCATGATATCAATTCAATAACATTTAATAAATGAGTAGTATATTAAATTATAGGGCCATAGCATAATTAACTATCAAAGTGGCTATTCAATATGTCAATACCTACCCTGGTACCAGAAGTGAGAGGTTGGGATTAAAAAACTACCGGTATTTGAAATTGTATTGTTGGGTTTGTAAGACAAAATAAGGTATCAAATAAAAGATAATTGAATGGACTATATTTTTGTAAACTTAATTCTTCACTTTAACTAAAATAAACTACCACAAATGACATCCGAATAGCACTGTCACTGAGTCAATATGGACCCAGACTTGCAGCACCGCCATTCGCACCCAGTCCAGGTATCAAAAAATGTTCATCAAATTTCTTTTTGAACGCACTATACAAAATAGTGAAACAAAATAATGAGTTCAAAATTAAATTTGACACAAAATTTTAACGTTTGAACTGAAAAAAATGATTCAACCAAATTTCCGTTTGATAAAAATTATGCAGATCAAATATCCGTCGGTGAAATTTCTTTCAAACAAATTTCTGGATACGGAGCTCAAGCAATGTGACGCCACATGAAGGAATATAATTGTAGGAAAGAATTGCACTTAATAACCCTAAATTACAGAAGTTTTTAACATTATTCTTTTATACAACAATTATAATTAAGTTATTTTTAAACTATGATACTGAGGGAATCAGTACAGGTATATGAGGTCCGAAAAATGGCCCCTGATTAAGTTACAGGACGCCAAGGAGGAGGAGAAACAGGATTTAGTTGCAATGACAGTCGTGAGAATTTATGGGTAAATGAGGACACAGGAGTCATAGAATTAAGACTACTACCACGTGAAGTAGGACGTAACAGAAAAAAAATGGTTGGGGGAGGGGGTATCTTAGTAAATGCACTAGGGCAGGGTTTCTTAACCTCTTTTTCCAAGCTGCAGGCCCACTCAGTTTTTAACCCCTCCCTATAAATAGTATCGGAACCAGAATTACATTGTAATAAAATTAATTTAAAGTAATTAAATAAATTAGCTATCGTTGTTTTATTTCTTTAATTAACCTTTATAAACAATAGAACAAATTACCAATACAAGCAATGTTGTCTTTAAGCTGTGCGGCCGCGCAGCTATCTCACAGATGCCGCGCAGCAGCTTTGAGTACCGCGCAGCAAATTTCCATGTAAGTGTGTGTTTGTGTATGTGGGCTTTAAATTTTGCACACACAAAATTTATGCTGTAAAACTTTGCACAACTGCATAATTTTGCACATGAACCAACGAACCTTAGAGGGAACATTGAATACAAGTAATGCGTCAACAAAATTCTCAAGAAAAATATTTACTGCTGCTACTGCTAATCAAAATGCATAAAAACTGATTTTTTTAAAAAATGGCGTAGCTAGGGTTGGTGTCACCTGGTCCAGTAAGGTCGTGGTGGTGTCGTCCGCCCCCACCCCTGGACTTCCATGATGTAATTCTTCTTGTTAAACTTAGTCCACAGTTTTAAAAAAAATACAAGAACAAAAACAATGCTTTTAAGAACTGTAACATGTACTTAGAATCGCACATTGTTATCAAAGAATAGCTTTATAATCAAAGAATTTCTCAGAATTTAGATAAATTTAAAGTGTAACACAAATTTAAAATGAAAATAATTGAATAAAATATATATCTTTCACTTCTGGTGTGGCTGTTTCCTATTCACTACCAGCCCTCCCCTACTCAATATATTTTATATTAATTGTGCTCGGTGGGGGGAAAAAGCTGTCAAGCAATGAGCATAATGTATGATGGTTGAACTTAAGTAAAAAAAAAGGCTAAATTTATTTTTGGAGGCAAATCTTTTTTTTTTTTTAAGTTAAGGATTTTAAATTATATAGCCCAATAATTAGACTGGTACAAATTAAGAAAAAAAAAGGCTAAATTTATTTTTGGAGGCAAATTTTTTTTTTTTTTTTTTAAGTTAAGGATTTTAAATGATATAGCCCAATAATTAGACTGGTACAAATTCAGGAAACAAATGACCCATGCCATATAATGCCAAATTCTGACAATAAAAATGTGATTACTGTTTTTCTAATTAAGGATGTAATATAACAACTTTGAAATAATACTAAGTTAAAGGCCTACTATAACTACGGTCACACTGTATGGCATGGAATATTAATTAATACCCAAAAATTTATCATTGAAGAAAGACATCTTACACGCTCAAAATACTATTACTTTTTTGTCAGCTTATTGAAGTTTCTACCCTACAATTATAACAAAAAAGTTTTCAACATGAACAGATTGTTTAAACATTTGGTGAAATGAGTGTTAGACTCAGTGTTCATATTCAATTACCTGGGAATCTTGAAAATGTAAAACTAAAAAGGGAAAAACTATATCCATTTTGTTACTTGGCCTTAATATTGTTTATGTAATCACAGTAAGGAATGTACAGTAAAATGAAATATTTATGAAGGCTATGACTATGAGGCATATGGATATAAATATTTATAAAATGAAATTTGTTAGAAAGCTGATTAAGTTTTAATACTGAGGAAATTTACAATACTATTGATTCATTTAACAAATATATTTGTGTGGATGTGTTTTGTTTCTCATTTTCTATTTCCTTGGCAACAATAATGATCACTTAAGTCATGAATGTTCATTTCAAATGTGAAATTTAGTTGGACAATCTCCCTTTGCGAGACAGACCAGCTTAATCTTCAATCTTCTACTTAACATCAATCTTCTACTTCCCCCTTACCATCAATGAGTTCATCCTTCCTTATCTTCTGTTCCCCACTACTATTGACCATGCTCTTCTTCAGGATTTTTCCACCATACTCTCTCCACCTTCAACCCCTGTGATTTATATATCACCAGGCAATACTATCACCTGACTAAAACAGTTTTTATTGGAAATTATTTATTTATGATTCCAGTCAGAGTAAAGTGAATTATGGCTGAACAGAAAGTTATTCTTGTTACTGGTGGAACTGGATTGGTGGGTAAAGGTATTGAAGCAGCTATTGGACGAGAGGGAAAGCGTGCTGATGAAGAGTGGCACTTTGTATCCTCCAAAGATGCTGATCTCACGTAAGTTCTATATAATTAATTTCTTTAGGTAACAGTTTGTGAACAGTCTTTAAACTTATTTAAATAACATTCTCTGATATAATTATACATTTGCCATTAATTTGCGCAGACAAGTAACAGAAAATAATAATTACAATTTTCAAGCTAAGAAAAGCTGTATAAAAAGATATTATTTCATTTCTAACAAATATTCTTGTTAAGTAGCTTTGGGAGATGTTCTTACCACCTTCTGTTTCTGACTTTTCATTACATTTTTTCTTAAACGACTACATACCCTTTTTGTAAAGACTTTTCGGCATTTATTTTATTGTACTTTGTTTCATTTAAATTGACACATTTACAAGCCATAGCTATAATAAATAGCTATATTAAATCATGGTAATCAAATCTAAATGGGTATTTATATTGATTATAATGTCAAGTTTTAAGCTATGTCTTGCAATCAATACTTTTATTATAGAAGACCAAAATAGAAAAGATGCTGTATGGATTGATAATGGGCAACATGTGCTTACCTTGTGAACATTTATTAGCCCAAGGGTGAAACCAAAGTGTTATTGAAGGCGTAAATACAGAAATTTGAAATCATAAAATCCGTTATATTAATTTGTTCATGTTGAAAAACAAAGCCTACTATGGGTTATTTGACATGATTTATTATCTCCTGGAAAATTAGTACAAAGCTCAAATTATGGTTCAGCCTGGTACAAAACTCAACTTACGGTAAAGTTTGATACAAAAAAAATTACAGAGCATGTCTACTGAAAGTCTTCATCTAAGAACAAATATGACCAATAAATTTAAAAAAGATTGCAGAAAGTACAAAGAGATATAGTAATAGTAATAAGTAAAATCGTGTAGGGTTTCCATAAGAATATTCATCATATATCCGACTTTAATCATGAACATTTGTCATTTTGACCCATAGAATATAAAAAAGAAAGGCATTATTACAGGATACCAAGTTTTGTGTTGTTATTTTCATAAAATACAAAGAAAAGTCAATAATTTGGTTTTGCCAAAGATTTAAATTTTCTTTCTCTTTGAAGTCATGAAACATAAAATATTTTTATAATGGAATGAAAACATTTGTTTAATCACCAGCAGCTAGATATCTACCACATCCATTCTGAGCTAGTTGGGTTGTTATTTTAACTGCTCTTGATTCTTTTGGAATCATCATCCTTTCATTTTTCCTGTAGAAAATAATCTCTGCGCCATACTAAATAAATGTCAATTTAAAATTTTGAAAATGTGAATCCACAAGTTTTTTTAAAAAGTGAACTCTGTGGAAAAAGACAACACCCCCCCCCCCACCCCCTCCTCAAAAAAAAAAAAAGTACAAAATAGAGCACACTAAAAAGTTGAGAGGAATGATTGAAGGCGCTAATAAGCTACTATAACAAATTATTTAATTTAATGTGTTTTGATTACATTTAGGGATCGCAATTCCACTGAGGCCTTATTTGAGAGGATAAAACCAACACATGTCATTCATTTGGCAGCTATGGTCGGAGGACTTTTTCGCAATCTCAAATACAATTTAGACTTTTTTGTAAGTTTTATTTTATCTTACAATGCTATTTTGTTTCCAGTGCCTAAGTTTTGCAAGTAATAGCATATTTTTAATAAAACAATTTAGTCTTTGATATTACTTTTGAAAAATAGCAAGGTTAGTTCAAAATCATAATTGATTTACTTTAATATGGATTGTACCATTTTAAATTTAATGCTTTTAAAAAAAAAAGTACCTTTTTTAAAAAATTTATGTTTTTAGAGAGTCAACTCACAGATCAATGACAATGTATTGAGCATCAGTCATCAATATAATGTCCAGAAGGTTGTATCATGTCTATCCACATGTATCTTTCCAGACAAAACCACCTATCCAATTGATGAAACAATGGTAATTCATTTGTGTCTTTTTTTTAACAAGATAATAAACCACTCCATTATAAAAGTCAGTACTCCCTTAATATTTTTAATGAATATAATCCTTGAACATTTTAATTTTTAAGAGGCATTAGGGAGACATTGCTACATAATACATAAAACATTTGCTTGACTCATTAATTTATTTCTTTTACAATACTGTTTAACGGATTTGTTTTGTCATTTACACCCATTTATTATTAAAAATGTTTGCATTAATAGTTAATACCTTTTGGCTATCCAGGTTCACAATGGTGCACCCCATGACAGCAATTTTGGATATTCATTTGCCAAACGTATGATAGATGTACAAAACAAGTAAGTGCATTAAGTAGTGCATATTCAGTTGTATACCCTGACTTGGTAGTTTTAAGCTGGGTTACATCCTTCACAGGAGGATGTGCGGTGCCGTATGTTCATTACATACCCCAGCCCAGTGGCCTAGGAAAGGGTTATGGAGGAGGTGGTCCACCCCAGGAGGCACATTTTTTCTTTTATGGAAAGGCAGTGTTTTAGTACAACTACAGACCTGTTTACTCTTACGATTTTGGCGTACAATGTACGATTTTGAGGTGTAAACATTATGTATACAATATGTTTATTTTTTACTATAAATCTAAGGTATTGAACGATTTTGTGATGATATTGTACGATTTTAAGAGTTTGAGGGTAAACAGGTCTGCAACTACAGAATTTGTTTGTGGTTGGGGGGTCGCTTAAAATCTTGCCCTGCCCTGGGCAGCACTAACACTAGTTATAGCTATGCTCCTGCTGATACGATCTGAAGACACATGTTATACTGGGTATTACTGGTCATAATAATGGGACACATTTTCAAAATTTTTATTAAAAATACTGTAGCATTTGAATTGCCCTGAGCCAAATTAGGCTATGCATCATGGCTAGTTTCTTTTTTAATTTCATAGTACTCAAAACAAATTGAGAAAAAAACAAAGCTGAATGAGGTAATTGAACAAAAACAAATTGAAAGATCATGTCCTATCAGTGTTAGTTAAAACCAAGATAGGTATGCAACTGATTAACAATGAAATTTGGGTCATTATATGTGTAACTCTGGAACCACAAGAGAAATTTACTTGGGCTGGAATTCTGCAATGCTCCACTTACATTCACAATAACAATAATAGATTGGCTTAATACTTTTTGAAAGAGATGGAGAGATGAGAGATTACAGTATTGTAATCCTCAGGCCAAACATTCTAAACAAAAAGTGCAGTAAGTGAAATACACACAACGGCTTTAGTGAAAAATCACCTACCTTGCTCTCTTGGTGGAAAACATTGTTGTGAGGTCTTCATAGTCAAGAGTGGTAATAATGTTTTGTTCAATTGACAATGTTCTAGTCCATTCAATTGAATCTGAGACGTTGATGATCTCAATTTTTATCAACTTAAATTTTTGTTAAACTTCTTTCAGCACTTATTTAAGTTTACCAGTGTTGTTAACATTTTGTACTCAGTCGTAGCAATGCGAAACTAATCTGCCAGTAACACAAGGAATTGAAGCCACTGTAATGCTGTTAGTACTTCATCTTGAATAATATCTCTGAGGACCTTCAGTTCTGCTTGTAAGTCCAGACTATCTACATCTCATGAGTCACAACTTCTCAATACCATGTCCCAATTCACACTTTGTTGGCTCAAATTATTCAGAGTCATGGTACAGAGTTTTTGAATATAGAAAGCCAATAATGACAACGTGCAGTTGCTGGAAACATGTCTTAAAGGAAACCAACCCCTGGTCTATTAACGAGGATAAATCCTTAAAGATTCTTCTGGTATCTGTTGTTTCTAGTCTCTTAGATTCATATTCAAACTGCTCCTTCGCTAGTGAGTGTGGCATTCTTTAAACACCTGTTTAATGTTCGTTTCTGATGGAATTTTATTTGCAGTAGTCATTACTGATGCAAACCCTTCTTCTCTGTATTTGGTGAAGAAACCAATCATACACTTTGGACATGGGTAATTGCATAGCCGAGGTTTTCACGCGATTGACCTGGGAAGGATAGTATGGGAACCGGGTAGATGGCCATTTGATTATCTTGTACCAGTACTTAAGAAATTACTTTGACTTGAAATTACAATGATAATGCACTGCTTGACTTTATTAATAATACATTATATCATAAGTTCCATACGCTGAGCCTAGGGCAGTTGCCCCATTTGCCAGCCCTGTCCTTAATCAGAATTGAACCAAAATCATTCGTCCTATAAGCCTTATTTTTCTCAGTTAAATTTTTTCCTAAATGTGATGTATTTTATCAACATTGTAATGTTAAAAGTTAATGATAACAATTTCCAGCTGAGACAAATGTAACAATTTTCAAACATTAAAACTAGGATTCAAAGCAGTCTCTCTAGTACAAATACTGACTCATGCACCATTATATGATTAACACATGAGAAATTATGATGGAAGTTCTCCATGTATTTGTATGTCTTATACACAATGAAGCATCCTAGTAAAACCTGACAGACTTGATCTAAAATAAAGAATCTAATCAATATTATTTTCTTCAGAGGCTACCATTTACAGCATGGCCGTAAATTTACTTCAGTCATTCCAACAAATGTTTATGGACCACATGACAATTTTAACCTTGAAGACGGCCATGTTCTACCAGGTCTCATTCGCAAAGTGTATGAAGCTAAAGGTAATGAAAGGTCCATGTTTCATTCACATCTTAATTTATTAGTTTTTATTTGTGTAGGATTTTACAATTTGTTTTAAAGAATCGTCATGGGTAATTGTTTAAAATTATAATGGAGCTTGGTGAATCATAGATAATTGCTAGAGAGGCAGACATAAATAATTGCTAAGAGAAGCAATGGGGGAGGCATGGAGTTGTATTTCACTTTTAAAAACATTGCTACTGAACTTATTTCAATGTAAAAGTGTCCATTCAGTTTCCTTACCAGTATGTAAAAGCATGGCAATTTTACTAGAACCATGGATAAACCTCTCAGAGGGTCTTGTAAATTTCTCTTTTTAAAATGTACACAATTTTTGGAATTGCATTAGGAGTGTTCATTTATTAACCTAAATATTTTCAAATACTTTTAGCCAGTGGCACACCCTTTGTAATTTGGGGTACAGGATCACCACGACGACAGTTTATTTATTCTTTGGACCTTGGGCGTTTATTCTTGTGGGTGCTCAGAGAATATGATGAGGTCTCTCCCATAATTCTTTCAGGTAATTTAAAGGTGGTTCTTGAAGGACAAACTACAAAGTAGGATGCTTTTGATGAAACCAAACTCTTAGTTACATTGAATAAAATCAATTTCTTTGAGTTAAAAGTTAAATCATGACAACATTTTTTAATAAATCAACAAGGTGTTCCTTCTTTTGTGTTTTGACGTTAATAGCTTCACACAAAAAACATTAAGTACAAACAGAATATTGATTTTATTTTCAGTTGGTGAGGAGGATGAGGTGTCCATCAAAGAGGCAGCAGATTTGGTTGTAGAGGCGATGGGATTCACTGGGGAGGTTATTGTATCCTTTTGCATGTAGAATTGATTGATAATTATATGTAAAATCAATGCTAGCAATCAATTGGGGATTGACCGCTGTAGCCTAGCCGCAAAGTTTATTATGTTATGTCACATCCACTTCAGCTTCAATTTAATTTGGATATTTTATTCATAACCTCTTCCAAAATAACAACAACAAAAAAATCACTTTACAAAAATGACTGCATTGAAAATGAATCTTAACATGTTAGTCATTTTTTGTGTCGCTCTAAAATGGTGAGTAATAACATTTCCCTTAATATTTATTAACAGAAACATAAGTAAAAAGAAATGTCATCACATCATTAATAACAAAATATTTACATCTTGCCCTAATAACAAAATTTCCATTTACCACTTGACCTTTTAAAAAAAATAATTTTCATTTTTACTTGACCTGGGACTGAGAGCTTGTTATAAATGTGTTTGTGTGCCTTGACTAATTTCTCAGCAAGACACTACCAAATCAGATGGCCAGTTCAAGAAGACAGCTAGTAATGCAAAGTTGAGACGTTATTTACCTGATTTTAAATTCACCCCTATTAAACAAGGTAAGACAGTAGGATGTGAAGTTTTGAATAAAAAGGTTATGAAAAGTCGCAAAAAAGAAAAAACAACTTACATTTATTGTATAATTTTAAATGCTTTATATTTATTGATACATTTTTTTTTTTCAGCTATCAAGGAAACTTGTGATTGGTATGAGGCTAACATTAACACTGCTCGTCATTAATGAAAATGACAATAAATGAGGACTTTTTTTTAAGATACCGGGTACACTTTTCAATGAGTATGAGGATCAATATGGCTTTGTATTGACTGTCCCAAAAAAATTCATTTACCTCACAAGTATTGATTGCTTTTAACATTTCTTTTGGTGATACTAAACTAAAGAAGCCTGAAATTGTAATATTAAATTATTTTATCACCCTTCATTGTACGAACAATTATTGTGTAAATTGAAGACAATCCATTCCCACTTCTATAATAATATCTGCAGCTCATTGTGATAAGGTGCATTGTTTTTGCTTTTGAAATGTAGGCACTGTAACATGTTTTTGCTGGTTCATTTAAAGTTAAGGCTTTTTACTATGATGATACCTCTATATTATTTGGCACAGCTCTTGTTGATTTAAAGCGTTTCTCTTACTTTTTTTAAGATGAAGACAGTAAGGAGTGTAACCATTTTTGTGAGACTGTAAATGCAAAAATATACTTGTTTATGCTTGGTAGTTTACTGTGGATTATTGTATTAGTCTATCCTTTTGTTGCTGTGAGACATTTTTTTTTTTTTTTTTGGCTTAGGAAAGGTGTTACAAGTCAGGTAAAATTACACTTTTAGTACAATCTGTTTAATCAATAATTTACTCACAAAATATAATGTCATTAATGTTACAAACTGTCAGATTCCAGGGATGAACATACCATTGAATTGTTATAGACATTTACTCAATTGAAACAATCTCACATATAAGAAATTTACACATTGTAGAAAGTCAGTATTAGTCATTCATCAATCATATTTTTCTGAACAAAAGGAAATTGTAACTTTAATTTATGTTGTATTCTTATAAGAAAAGACTTGATAAATTATAGGATCATCAATGCTATGTTGTATAAACTAAGCTATTCAATTTTAAATAAAAGCTACATGAAATGAGTCTCCAATTATCCTCAAGCTTATGTTTTGTTGACTAAACCAATGTAATCACATATTATAATATCTTACGACTGCTAGACCTTATAATACTTTTAAACATTTTTATGTACTTGTGTTTTTTGTCAGTTATGTTGAAGGCAGTTTAGTATTTTTTAGCAACTGTACCTCCTCATTTGAAGAGTAGGGTGAACTATTTTTTCTTGTTGATAGTAATAAATCTGTGATTTTATAATTTTCTGTTACTAGGAACTGTGTTATATAATATGTTTCTTTTCATCAATTCTTATATAAAAAGGGAAATTTAATTATTTTCTGACATCATGAATCCAATTTTTATGAAAGATGCAGTTTTTTAAAAGAATATTTGGGCATCTTTGCATACATTATAATAATTAGAAATCAATTCTGAGTATCACCATTAAATTTTTTTTTTTTAGATCAGACAGTGTTTGAATGTTCTGCAACTACCACTTAATTTTAGTTCTGTATGTTAAATGCTCAAATGTATTTTTGGTTTGTTCTGTGGAATCTTTTATGTTTGCACCATAATATTTTATCTTTTATAATAACATGAGGGAGGTAATTAAATATAGTCTGTGGGTAGCATATTTTGTTAAAACTCTTTGGGTAATAAAATTTGTAAGTTACAAAGCTGGCTTCTCTTAATTTTTTTCAATTACCTTGTCTTATTTACTTTCTTATGTCTTCCTTTTTGTCTGCCAAAAGTTTAATTTATAAATACTTTTAATGACTTTATTTCTACTCGCAGTTCCATCTTGTTTGTCCTGTGTAATTTTTTGTTGACATGTGACCCTATCACTCGGTTGATTGTGGTCCATAGCATCTGCTTTGTTCAGTGAACAGCCACAGAAGGGTTGTTAGGGGAGCACGCAAGCTCCGGTTATCTTGGTCCACTGAGGCTGGTTGAAACTCTCGCGCAAATTAGCATGGCTGATAGTGTCTGCTTCATTGAGTGAGCAGATGGGTAGGGGAGCTCAGATCTATTTTTTAGTTTTATGCCTAGGTAAAGAGCTAAGTCACTTAAACTGAATTTAGTAAGCATTCGCTTTTAACAAAAGTAAATCTTCTCATGTCGATAATTTAAAGATTGCAATAGTAATTAAACAACCTCTACGAACAAAGTTTTTCATTTAAATCCTTAGTATGCATTTTTTATTTTATAATAATATTCTAATATCCCACCGGCTTTTACACCACAGATTCATTTCACCAACTATTTCAGAAAAACAGAAGAAAATATTACACACCAAATGCAATATTTTTAAGAATCTCATTTAGCGCAGCTATCAGGAATTTTATTTTGTGAAAAGGGTGACATCATATTTCCTTCAACTTCAACCCCCTTGAAAAACAGGAAAAAATTATTTTTTAGTGGTGGGGCTGAAAATTTGAAATAATGTGTTGTCATCTGCAAGGAGTCTATGTGCCAATTTTCAGCTCGATTAGGAAGTGGGTCAATCAGCTGTTTGATGATTTTGCCTCCCACCCAAAAAGAAACACATGAACAAAAGGGAAGTTAATATGAAGGAAATTTTTAAAATTATTTTTTAGAAATTAATAAAATCAAAACATTTAAGTTTCGTCTACATTCAATTCAAATCCTTAGGCTACATAGAGTGCTCATCTACACATCTGCACAGCCTTTGTTTGGGTAATGCATTTTGATAAATTTTAAATTATTTGCTACTCTTTGTGTTTAAACTAATTTTTAATAGAAAGTCTTTTTTTAAAGTTAAAAATTATTATTTTTCCCTCAATTGTGTGTGTAAAATATAATGTAGAAATTAGAAAGCCAATTTTAATCTCACTCCAAGTCCAAGTTGGCATCCGTCTTCTTAATATGCCTACAAATACTGTGGTGGACGAGAGTTGTGAAAATAAGCGTTTTTCTTTTCCACAAAAATAGCTTTCATACTGAACTGACATGGTGAATCAGCCATGTATACAATTTTTAATTTAAATAAGAATTGAAATATGCATAAAAACAATAAATGTTTTGACGACACTAAACCATTTTCAATATGATTGAGTTTATAATTCTTACTAACAAGACTTGCGAGGACAGCATTGCTACAATGTAAAAATGGGCATATGGAAAACATTTGTAAAAAATTTTTCTCATTAAAGAGAAAAATAAGCATCTAGAGCAAAATAATATAATACTGTAGCCAAAAGGTAAAAATATGTTGCTTTTTGTTGCAACCAGCTATTGTACTCTATTCTTAATTAAAGGGGAACCAAATACTAATTCATGAAAATAAAAAAAACTGAGTGTGAATTTTTTCCATGGCTGCATTGGGCCACCCTTACATTTACATATGCACTGTGAATTTTGCATAGTGGGGATTCAGAAGAATACGTTTATGTACATTTTAATGCTCAAATTCTGCAATGTTCATCCTGATATTCTGTGAAATTCACAATTTCAAATTACTTTGATAGGCTATAAAAGTAACAGCACAATGTTTTGTAATTATTGTCATACTGTTGCTTTGTGTTTTCACAAATAGCTCGCTAGATATCACAACAGCATAAATAGGCTAGTGGGCAACTGCTGCAATAGTTTTTTCTCGGGCATGTGAAGTAATTTGTGACCTTGGATGTTAGCAAAGAAAACCAGTGACATAATTTGTAACTCTTTGGGGGCGAAGATTCTCATTTTTTTTTATGTCTAGAAGGGTGGGGTTAAAAAAAATATCTGGGTGCAATGGGGCGTATGAAAATTTGACTTTGTACCTAATTTATGGATAGCCCCTTTGTGTATAAATTACGGTACCTAAATTAGTGCACCAACAGCTGAACTTGAACCAAAATTTCACTTTTCTTAATGAGATAAATGAGAAAAAAAGGTAGTAACATGTGGTAACAGTTTGTGAGGTACAAACTTTGTACATAATAACAAATAACAAAAAAAAGAGTATTAAAGTATTCTGTAATTTTATTCTTTAAATCTCACTGAAACCATATCTAACTCAGCAATGAAATCTGCTTCCTCTTTTTATTATAAGCCCTTTACGTTTTAATATCTGCACACAATCATTTACCTCAAATCCTGTTTGAAACTACCTTACATTTACATTAATAATAACAATGTACAAAGCAAAGAGTATTGCCACAAACTTCTCCAATAAATCATTACAATTTTCTGAAAAACAAATATCCCAAACACCACCACATGATGATATGTTTGATTCGATCAGTCAACAGTTAAATATCAGCATAAGTTATCCAATAATTTGACAAAATTCTCATCTCTCTGTCAGTAGGTCTCTGGATACCAGCATTCGCATGATTTCATTGGTTCCTATAAAATACCGATATAGAAAAGAAGTGTAAAGACTGAAAATGACAAATCATCTTAAAGGTTTAGCAACTCAACTGGCTGAAAGTTGTTTGGCTGCCAACACATATTGATAGATGTTGGTACTAATTTTAAAAAAAATCTGACTGCTACACTAGTTTATTTAAAATAAATTTAAAAAAGAAAAAAAAAAGTTTATCTTTAAGTTTAAGTAGGTTATTCGTAAAGATCGCATACCCTCTAATATACAGTGTACTCGGGTGTCTCTCATGTACTGCTGGACAGGGTAGTCCTTCAAGTACCCGTAGCCACCAAACAACTGTAAGGCTCCATTGCAAATCTGAATTTTATCAGAACAAATCATTCAATACTATTCAAAGCTTCATAGTTTAATTAAACTTTTTGATACCCGGTATGACATTGTTTTTCCATTTGAAAAAAGATTGACATGAAATCATGTATACAATAAAACAATGTTTTATTTTTTTACTCTCAAGACCAAAAATAATTTAAGACTAAAATGTCAGAATTTCTCGGACACACCAAATGAAATATTAGCCTATTTTAAAGAGTTAAAACAATAATTTAAGCAGCATCTTTATGTCATTAACGGTAGACAATTTTTATAATTTGTTACAATACAAGAAATTTGGTGCGGATTAACCATACATGTAATGTCAAGTTTATAGTTTACATCTTTACCTCAAAGCATTGCTCAGTAGCAAACAACTTTGCCATGGAACAGAGAACAACTGCTTCTTGATCTTTGTTATCTAATGCTTTAGCCGCATTTCTCACCATTAGTCGAGAAGCTAACAACTGGGTGGCCATTTCAGCCAGTCTGAACTGTAAATACTGTAAAAATAAACAAGATACACTTTTTTTTTGTCCTTCTGTTTTTCCTCTACCCTGTGTATATTTCTTAAAAATAAACACAAGCTTTCAATATTGGTTCTTTGGAAGCATTGAGTTATGCAATGTTATATTTCCAATACTAAAACGGCATATACTCAAAAAATCTCACAAGCATTGATTATAGTTATATAATTAAAGCCTTTTTGAGAGTTTTACATAGCAAATTGTTCATACATTTGGATCTTTAGATATTTTAAAAACATTTCTGTTCAGTTTTTCCTAAGCAATGTTAGTCAATTTTTTCATTCATTCTATGAACTTTCATGAAAAATTATTCAAGATTTTAAATTTTAACAGGATTATGGCAGTCAACTCTTTTTTAACCATTTAAATATTATTAAATAGGAATTTTAAGACCTGAAAATTCTCCAATGTTTTTCCAAATTGCTTCCTAACTTTTAAGTGATCTCTTGCTTTTGCTATTGATGCATGAGCAGCTCCTAAAGAACATGAGGCTGAAACACAAATTATTTTATGTTTAATAAAAAGAAAAACACAAAAAATAAACTAAAAAAAAACAAAAAAAAACCCACCCAAATTTGGGTAAAAAATATATAACTTCTAGTGCAATAACTGAAAATATGATTTTGGGAAGATTAAACTGATAGTAAATGAATGAAACCACATATTTTATCTCGATCAATGTGAGGTTACAAAATCTAAATAATCACTTTTAAAGTCAATATTCTCGTGCAAAGATATTGATCTACCAACAAGCGCCTTCCCAGGTGGCAGGAGCCCACCAGATATGATGGGTACTAGGGAAATTAAATTCCTGGGGCAGACCAAAATCAGAAGCTACCGAAAATTAAGGCCGCTAGAGAGCTGTAAGGAGCAGCCCTCCAGTTGGTTGTGTGCAGGACCTGGCCATGTAAAAAATAAAAATTATGAAAGCCAAACAACAAAATAAAAACTGGACTGATTCTAATGGAAATCGAAAAATGCCTGGATATGGACATGATTTTTTTTATTGTGACTTGGAATGTACTAAGCCTGTTAAGAGTGGGAGCCTTAGCCAAATTAATAGATCAACTAATTAACAATAAAAAATCTCCTTCGCTGCATTGCAAGAAATTCCATGGAAAAATGCAGACAGCCTCAAAACAAAAGACTACACCATATTTTATAGTGGCAAAAGCACTAACAATTTTGGAATAGGATTTTCTGTGAAGAAAGAAACCGACGGTGCAGTTATAGGTTTTAAACCAGAAAATGAAAGTTTAATATAACATTTATAAATTTTCATGCTCCCACCGAAGATTAGAAGATCAGATAAAAGAATCCTTTTATGAGACGCTGGAACAGAGGCGTAGCGTGGTGGGGGCAGGGGGGGGGACAGATGTCCCCGGGCGCCAGCTAGTTAGGGGCGCCAAAATGTGCTTTGATATTATTTTATTGATGAAAATAATGGGTTTGAGAGTTGAAAAAAAGAAAAAGGGGCGCTAAAAATGGATCTTGTCCCCGGGCGCGAATCTTGTCCCCGGGCGCCAAACACCCTCGCTACGCCACTGCGCAGGAACAAATCTATGATAAGGCACCATGACATGATATTAAAATAGTGATTGGCGACTTTAATTAATGCCAAATTGTTCTATTGACACAATTTGTTCGTGTCTTATTAATCTAATTAATGCCAAAATAGGTAAAGAAATGTGTTTATGCTAACTATTGGCAAGGAGAGTCTACATGAAGGGATGACAGCAGCACCAAATTTTCACACAAATTATACTTGGAACTCATCAGATGGAATCACTCACAACCAAATTGACCTTGTCCTAATCGATCAGAGGCATGGATCAGACATAAAAGACGTAAGAAGCTATCCAGGAGCAGATGCAGACTCTGATCATTTACTTGTAAGGGCTAAATATAAGCAGAGAATAAGCATAATACACAATGGCCGAAATCAAAGAGAAAAATTATATGATTATGGTATCAAAAAATTACCAACTATCCGCAAAATCTTACCAAAATGAAGTAGCAGCTAAACTAGAAGCATCACAGGAGGAAATAAACAGGGAAAACAACATAGATGAACGCAGGATAGGATGAAAAAACATAATGACAAGATCAGCATAAAAAGTAGTAGGATTTCAGCAAACTAATAGTAGAGTGTGTTGGATTGATAATGAATACAGAGAGACTGTTGAAGAAAGGAACATGGCACAAATGACCACTATCCAAAGGGAAACCAGAAATACAAGATAAATATACAACGAAGCCAGAAGACCTCATCACATCGGATCTTATTAAATATGGAGGAAGAGAACTACACACTCAGACACATAAACTTTTAACTGCAATTTTGCAAGAAGAGAAAATTCCAACAGAATGGGAAGAGGGAGAGAGTTATAAGAAGCATGCGCATCGAGACATATTGAGGAACAATGACAGGATACTTTCTGGGGGAAACCCAAGACCCACAACCAATAGGCACTCTCTACAACCAACCCCTTCGGTATCTTGCAAATGCTGATGACATAGCACTGTTAGGGAAAAGTAGCAAAGATAAAAGCTTTAAGTGAATTAGAAGATGCATCCCTAAAAAACGGATTGATGGATAACAACCAAAAAAAAATACATGACTATGTTAAGAGGATAACACACAGATGAAATCATTAAAATTTGAAACCACACTTTTTCAAAAGTAAATCAATTCAAATATCTAGGATCTTTATTAAATTTTAAAAAAAATGAATTACCAACACTTACTAACAGAAATAAAAGAAAGAATATCAGCCGGAAACAAAGAGTAGTAGGCAGAAAATACTCAAACTAAAAACATCTCAAGAAAAACAAACAAAACTATCTATGAAACACTGTAATCAGATCAGTTGTAACATTTATAAGTGAAACTTGAACCCTAACAAAAACAGCAAAAAAACTTGCTAAACACATGGGAGAGAAAAGTTCTCCATAAAATATAAGAGCCAACAAATGATGAATTTGGATGGAATACAGGCACTAACCAGGAATTGCATAGTATATATCCGGATCCAACACTATTAGCAGAAATAAAAAAGGGCTTGCTACGCTGGGCTGTACATTTAGAAAGAATTCCAAGTGACAAAGGAGTGAAGATGGTGCACCACCAAAACCCCAGAGGAAAACGGCTCAAAGGCAGACCTACGCTTAGATGGATGAATGATGTGGAGAGGGATCTATAGAAGCTGGGAATCCCAGCATAAAAAAGAAAAGCATCAATGAGGTATGAGTGGAAGGATGTGGTGAGGCAGGCCAAAGCCCTACATGGGCTGTAGCCTGTAGCACCACAGGGATTGGCGGAAAGTCAATATTGTCACTAATTGACTGAAGTTCCATGGCATAAGATGGATGATTTTTGCACTTGAGAAATACTTTAGATGTCTTGTGTTAAACTGTTCTAGTTTGTTTCAAGTTTGTCTTTGTAAGAATATATATGCATGTGCTGAAAATGAATATGTACATCCTAATAAAAAACATTTCCATTTATTTGGATCAATAAAAATGTTTACGTTATCTTTAAAAACAAAAATATAATTTATGAGGAAAAATACCTTTTTTTTCTTTCCAGTTCAAAATAAGCCTTTAAGTTTAAAAACCATTATACTTAATTTTAACATGAATTATTTAATTTGAAACATTTTTTAAATCATATCGGACCATGTCATGAACTTTAAGTTAACAAAACATTAGGTGGACTTCGTGTTGGTCAGTGGGTTTAAATTATACATGGCCAAAACATCCACGCACAAACAACTAAAAAGTATTTAATGCATACATGCAGTCAAATAGTTTTTTTATATCAAAGATTTTATCAGCTTCTGTCCTCACCCACATTTAGTCTCCCTCCATTGAGCCCTTTCATAGCAATGTTAAACCCTTGGCCTTCAGCACCAACCAAATTTGTTTGTGGTACGCGGCAATCATCAAATGAAACTATGCTTGCTGGGTGTGTATTCCACCCCACCTGTAACAGTGATAGAGATTATATGAAATAACAATAAATGATTCGAGTTGTTTTGACAGTTTCAGATTTAAAACACTCAGAAAGGTAGAAATTTAATTTGACTACTGCTAAAAACTGAATGCTATCTAGGACCCTGAGAAGTGTCCTAACCACATCTAGGAATAAATTTCTCACCTTTTTCTCCTTCTTTCCAAAAGAAAGTCCAGGTGAGTCTTTATCCACAAGTATACAGCTCACACCTTTGGCCCCGGCAGCTCCTGTTCTACACATCACAACATAAACATCTGACCTGCCAGCACCACTAATAAAAGCCTGAAATGTGACTGTTAACTAGTTTACATTGGTCACAAACATTATACTCAAAAAATGTTTTTTTATTTATGATATTACTGGTAATTACTGGACTTTATATTCTTCAAGTTAGATATTCTGGATATCAGATTTTAAGCAACTTAAACCAAGAATGTGAAGTTTTTGTATCCCATGTTTAATACATAAAATAAGATGGGATAAAATGCTAAGCAGGAGTTAATTAAACAGCTTTTCATTTTAAAAAAAAAAGACATGATTAACTGTATTTACTTTGGCTCCATTTATCACATAATCAGACCCATCTTTTTTAGCTGATGTTGTAAGTGAAACAGCATCACTTCCTGCACCTAGAGTTCACAATGAATAAAGAGAAAAGCTATTTTATTACATTAAAAAAAACAGACCCTAATTAAATTTAAAAAATTTAAATTTGGCAATTTGATATTAATTTGTATAATTTTCTAATTGTTAATATACTTGTCCCCTAAATAATAAAAAGTATAATCTTGCTGTTAATTTGATGAAGGGAATTTAAGTTATCTGCCTAGGGAATTATGACAGCACAGCTACTCCTAAACTACTCAAAAGTATGTCTAAGCCAACCATAAATTCTAAAACTACGAAAAAATTAAAAATCATACCTGCCATTTTATTAACACTGAAAACAATCAAGGGAAATTTTATCCCATTAACAGCTTCTTTGCTTTCAAAAAAGGTAGATACATTTAAAGAACACAAATATTGTAGAGATCCTAATTTTTGTATCTTAAAACATTTTACAATAGTCCTTACTAACCAGGCTCTGTAAGACAATATGAAGCAAATTTGTCCATAGTTGCTAGTGAACCAATCCATTTTTCTCGTAGTTCTTCAGTACCAAACTCATCAATCATCCAAGCACACATGCTGGGGGTAAAATAGAAATTAATTTTTTTATCTCCTGCTATGGGCTACTACCCACACTGCCTTGTGATGATCTTGGAAAAGTCAAATGCAAGGGGAAGGAAAACTCTACAAAACAATAAACTCAGGTGGAATCCCTTGCTTGGAGGGAGGCGGGGGGGATTTGCAGTCGTCAAATAGAACAATTCGGGGGGCCAAAATTGGTTTAAAGAGATTATTAAAATCAATAAATATTCAATATAAAATACAGTAATTTTTTTTTTCTTGAAAAGTGGTTAAAGAGCAAGATTTTGCACTTGGTGGAGTAAACTTGTTAGCCCATTAAATATCTTGGGCTCTATAAACATCTCAATAAAAAATAATTAATGTGTCTACATGCAACCTATTTGGTTGGCTCATAAACTGCTTCTTACAAATCAGTCTCTAAAAGATAAAAGTTTACAAACAATAACTTACTTGTGTATACTTATATATGCAGTAGTGCTACAACAACCTGTAGCAAGAGCTTCAAAAATGATGGAGGCATCTAGTCGACTGAGTCCAGTACCTCCATATTTTTCATTACAGTAAACAGCTCCAAAACCCAGAGCTGCTGCTTTCCTCATGGTATCTACAGGGAAAATTTCCTGAAATACAATTTGAAAGTTAATAAAGCTCAATTTTAAGCTTAATTATCTGGCTATATTTTCATTTTCACAATACAAATTACACACTAATTCTTTTTAGATTAGCCTCTATTCTTAAGGTCAAAAAATGGGAATAGGCAAAAATTGACAAAATGAATATTTTTCAAGCAACATTAAGCTCATTCCAAAAATTATAAATTACCATTATTGTAATAGACTTGTTTACATTTATAAAGGTAATGATTTAATGAAATATAACAATATCTGTTTATTTTTGTGAAAACACATTAAGTTAGGAAAAAAGTTAATAATATAATGTGATGGCTTTCATATTTAGCAAAATAAATTATGACATTTAAAAATTTTTTTTACCTCTTCATCCCATTTTTGCATATAGGGAGACATTTCATTTTTGGCGAAATCCAAGGCAACTTGCTGGATTTGATTCTGTTCCCCTTCCAATCCATGAGAAACTGATGACATAATTTTGGGTCATCAAAAATAATGCTTCAGTAATGTTAATGAATAAGTTTAGAAACAAGAATGATCTGTTCAACACTGAATTTAACACACTGATTTTTTTGTAAATTGCTAAAGTTTCAAGTGCTTTAAATTAAAATATCCATCAAAGTTTACATATTTCTTGAACCAGCAGTGATAGATAAACATTTGAGATAACTTCCTTACTTAGGTGATAGCAGATTTTCTTTAACCTTTTTTATGATTTGAAAATGATATGAACATTAAGTTATACAACTCTTGCTGCGCTGAGGTACCAAATGTTATTTTAAAATTAGTGCCTGTGCCTGTGGTAGTAAATGGTAGTATTTCTTGATATTTTTATATAAATTTTCAAGTCCAATTTAATTTAATTTATACTTTTTTTAAACTGATGGAATAGATGCTATGAACACTTGAAAATATATTTCAATTTTAGCATTATTTTTCCCCAGTTAAATCTCAGTTTAGCACTAAAATTTATTTTAAAAGATTATGTGATTTAAATTAACCACGGTATAAATATTGAACAAATTACGAGAAAACAAATTTATTTTTTAATCCTATTTACTTACTATCTATACAACTTCCAGCAAGCATAGTTCGCGTTTGACAAAACTGAATGGATCGCTGAAGGTGATAAACAGTGCGGCCAAAAATTTGGGATGGCCTAAAAAGCAAGGCCATTTCATAAAAATTCTCCTCCTTTAATCAAAATGACACAGATCTGCTGAATTGAAATTTGACCTGTCAAAGGTAAATAATATAATAAATATACTTATTGAAAGCGAAAATAGTTACTAACAGATCAGCATTTATTTTTTAAACTTATATGTAGTAAAATTTGAAATAAGAAAATTTTAATGAACATTTGAGTCTGGTTGTTTATTTGCTAAGGAGAGCCCATAACCAAAAAGTGCCTTCTTATCCTTGTATAAATAAACAAAAATTGGCAATTAACTTGCTTCTAATATCCCAAGAGAAGCTTGAATAACTTTGTACATATATTTACAAAATGGTCTTATTACACTAAATAGCTTCACAGTTAATATTCCATAATAATGGTACCAGATGCTGTAGTCATCAGTGATGGCGATGGGATGTACTAAAAATTTATTTTATGTTATATTATATGATATGATAATTGTTAACTGTGATGAAGCTGTCAAAAGTATCAGTATCAAAATAAAAATTTAATTTAATCATAATAAAATAATCAATATTTATTTTAATAAATGCAAAAAACACTTACTTATAGCTCTATCTCATAATTCTATAAAATGTGTCAATTTGACTACAACTAAACTAGACTAAATTCACTTGACTATAAACTATAACTATAGGCTACTACTAAGCTACTATGAGAGTGACTTTTATAGCCTACTATTTTTTATGAATCGATTTTATAACTACGAGTAGTATGATTAAAAACTGAAAGAATGTTTATATCTCGGCTGATAAAATGAAATGGCAATGTAATTTTAATTTTATTAATGCAGGATTAGGTTAGGCCTACATTGGCTACATACTACATATTATTATTATTAGGCTAGGCGGCTAGGGACTGTGAATAACTTTTTAAAAATTGTTATCTTCCGTATTTTTTGTTTGGAACAATCATGGGAGTTGGTTGAGTAAGCTATTGTACTGTGATGTAGTGTTAAAGCACAGTACAGTCACTCACACAGCCTCACACTCGCTGCTAGTTGAGTTAGTTAAGTCACTTAATAGTTAATATTAATAGTATTAGTTGTGATGAGTGAAGTAGTAGGGCGGCTCCGGCTAGGTATTACTATTAGTATTCCAATTGCCAAGGGATTCAGGACATAGTTGCATTTTATTTAATTTAAACACACATATGAACCATAATATGAACAAATTATAGAGTAGTTTAATAAAAATAATAATTACGAAATTAAAGGTCGTACTGCAAAAATTTACCATGATTTTATTTAAACATAGGACATAACTCTCGTGTAATATAATAAAAAGGGAGACAACGAAACATACTAATTACAAGTTATAAGTAGGCTGACTTGGTAAATTTCTCAAAAGAATCCTAGTGAACTACCACACATAATTTTCACCTCCCCACACCCTCGTTACAAGTTTTTACAAAAAATTCTTGAATAAAAGACGTCACAAAGTTAAATCCCATAATAGTGGCGTTGCTAGCCTACCCAGTGCGGGCCATGCTTTTTTGCCCCACACGAAAAAAATCACCCTTGTAGCTACTGCAGGGTTTCTTTCAGCTATACCTCGGGGGGAGAGGGGGGCACGGGGAAAGCTAAGTGCCCCCCCCCCCCC